AGTGAGCGGGAACAATATGTGACAGGCTGTCCCCCCTGAAGCAGGACGGCGCCGAGGCCATAGCTCGAGGCATCGCACTGGACGGTAGCCGGTGACCGCGGATCGTAGAATTTCAGAACTGGCGCGCTCGTCAGCAGCGTTTTGACCCGGTCAAATGCGCTTTGACACACGTGGGACCACGACCACTCGTTGCGCGACTGTGTCAGCGCGCGGAGCGGCGCCAGGAGGTGGGAGACGTTCGGAATATAGCGGGAGAGAAAACTGACCATGCCTAGAAACCGTTTCAGACTGGGCACGTCAGTGGGGACTGGGTACTCGTGAACAGCCGCGACTTTCGCCGGATCTGGCCGCATGCCTCCCTCGGAGGTCAGGACATGACCCATCCACTTGATCTCCGGGACCTTGTAGCGGAATTTGTCCGGGTTGAGCACCAAGTTCCTGGATCGAGCGCGATCGAGGAACGCACAGAGATTTCGATCGTGATCATCCTCCGCCTCAGACATGGACGCCCCCCTGCCTACAACCACTACATCATCGGCGATAACCTCTACACCGCGTAGACCACTAACTAGATCATTGATGACTCGCTGCCAGATTTCAGGGCTCGAAGTAACACCATACGGCAGGCGCTTCCACACGTACCGGCCGAAGGGTGTGTGGAAGCAACACAAACGCGCTGACGCCTCCGACAATCCGATCTGCCAGAAGGCGTTTGCGGCATCCAACACGCTATACACTTTAGCATCACTCATACGCGCGGTTATCTCGTCAACAGTCGGGGTTGGATAGTGCTCCCGGCGCACCGCCTTGTTTAGATGGCGGGGGTCGATGCATCGAGTCGGATGTCACCTGACGGCTTATCTACGATCACGGGGTGGGAAACCCAGTCAGTGGGTTCAACGATCGGTGACACGACGCCAAGAGCCTCGAGCTCGTCCAACTTCCGTTTCAGTTTGTCCCTCACGTGAATACGGACCCTGCGAGGAGCGTCGACCACGGGGACCGCAGAGGGATCGGTGACAATCTCGTAGTCTTTCAAAATCAGACCCACCCTGCTTGTATCAAACACATCCCGATACTGGTCGATAATTCGTGACCGGCCAGTGGGCGGAGGGGCGGGGGTCGGTGCCCGTGACCGGCTGTTAGGTGAGTGGTACACATACTCCAACGGGTCACTGTCTTTGACGTCGATCAGCCCTAGACGGAGCGATGTCTTTAGACTAAGGATCGGCGCGATAGCCGCCTTGACTACTTTACATTGTAGCGTACAGTTGTGCCCCGTCACAGGGTTACTAAGTTCAAGATTCACTTTTCCATCCGTGTACACGAGTCCCCCGTCATACATGCGGAGTGCCGTCGAGCACGGCCTCAGCCGCTCACCCTGCTCGTCACCCGTCAGCCGCACATAGTCAGCACGTGTAATGACGTCACATTCAGCACCGGAGTCGATTAAAAATGTCACCGGCACTCCACCCGCAGTGAAAAGTGTTTTGTGGGCCTTACTTGGAAAACCTTCGGTCGTCATGATGTCGAACTCAGCCTCCGGGCTGACGTTGGCTGGCGGTGATACCTCCGGCTGTACCGCCGCCGCCGCCGGCCGACTCGCCGGCCGCCGTCCCTGCGCGGCGGCTGGAGCCGGCCGCCAGTCAGCTGATCGGCGCGCCGTCGGCTGAGCGCTGCCGCCGGCTGGGCGGCGCGGGCGCGGCTCAGCGGCGCGCCCCGGGCACTGCTGGCTGCCGGCGAAGTGGTTCGTGCCTTGGCACACTGCACACGTTTTGCCCCACGCTGGGCAATACTTTCGAGCCATCTGGTGAGATTGGCAGCAGAAGCGACACTGTCGGGCCACCATAGATGCAGCTACTCCACTCTCAGTCGGCGGCCGCTGCTCGTCTCCGGCGCTGATCAACTTGGAGTCACGGCTGGCCGCTTCTTCGGCAAGTGCGATGTCAATCGCCTGTGTGAGCGAGAGGCCAGACTTCTTCAGAAGGGCCTGCTGTGTGCGGGAGTCCCTCACACCCATCACAACGCGGTCCCGTAGCATATTGTCGCGATCCGGGAACTCGCATGTTGCAGCCATGGTCCTCAAAGCTGCCACGAATTGCAGGATGGGCTCGCCCGGCCCTTGGGTTCGATTATAAAACTTGAATCGTTCCATGACGATATTTTGCCGTGGGATGCAAAACGCATCGAAGCGCTCCAGTAGCGTTTCAAGGTCGCCATTTGTCTCTTCCCAGTCGGGAAAATGCGACGCAACTTCCTGAGCCCCACGTCCTGCGCAGTTAAAGAACGTAGCCACCTGTACCAGTGGCGGTTTTGTCATCAGTTCGGATGCCACTGCATAATACTTCCATTCTCTTCGCCACTGTCGCCATTCGGAACCCAGTGTCGGCGACGCCATGTTTATTTCTGGTGGGGGGCGAAAGTTCGTCGCCATCTTCTGACACCATGTAACGTAAGGTAACGTAATGGTATTGAGTATCTGTATTGAGTTCCAGCAGAGCACTCAAGTTGAACGAATAAGGGCAAGGCTCATCTCCTAAACACGGAGCGGTCACTCCGACCAGCTCAGTACACAACAAAACAATAACAACAACATGGCGCTCTCCAGCCAACAGCTAGCTCCCTTGTGCTGCCATCTAGGGGCAGCATCAAACACATGTACGGTGCATTTAAGATACGCACGACACAAAAGCATACTTACACGCCGTTTTTGACAATTGCGGCGTCGAGTGGCGCGCTGCTAGCGCTCTTTTTCGATCGCAGAGACCCTGCACGCGCGCGAGCACACTACGTCACGTCCGGGGGGCACAGGTATATGAAAAATCGCAGTGACGTAACACTTTTCTCGCTTCTCATTGGTCAATAGCCCGTTGCCGGGGTAACGTGCACGTATGTGAGCGCGGGCAAGAGTACTAGCCGGCCGCTGATCAGGGCTCCAACCATTTCCTCCAAATAAACAACATAAAAACTCACTTTTACACACATCATTCATAATAAAGCATACGAACACGCCGCTTTTGACAATTGCGGCGTCGAGTGGCGCGCTGCTAGCGCTCTTTTTCGATCGCAGAGACCCTGCACGCGCGCGAGCACACTACGTCACGTCCGGGGGGCACAGGTATATGAAAAATCGCAGTGACGTAACACTTTTCTCGCTTCTCATTGGTCAATAGCCCGTTGCCGGGGTAACGTTCACGTATGTGAGCGCGGGCAAGAGTACTAGCCGGCCGCAGGGCTCAAGGCCCTTTATACCAGGTAGGGTCGTCCGGCGATTCTTCCTGATCGTGACGTCAGCTCGTGACGTCATCTGGGGGCAAGTCTTGAAGTCCCGTTTAAGTCCTATGCAAATGGGCAATTTTTGAAGCGCTGTAGAAAAAACTCTGCTTAAGCTAGCACAAAACTAAGTGCATCATCGGAAAGCCGAGACATTTTTCTTCAAATTATCTAAGAAGCGTTTTTCACTAAACCCACTAGTTTTTCCAAAAATGCGTAAAAAGCCCCCATGCCTCCGCAGCCTCCCTTCCGCCGGCTGCCACGCCGCCGCGGTAGTGTAGTGGTTAGGATGCTTGCGCCGTAATCCAAAGATCGTGCGTTCGAATCTAGGCGCGGGTCGTACTTAAATCGAAATTGCAAGCAGAATATGTGTTTTTTCTTGATAAATCACTTATATTACAGCTAACCGTTCATAAAACTATCGATAACAATTGACTGAAACCCAAAATATAGAATACATTCTAATAAAACAATTTCAAATATGGCGGCCGTTGCGCCAGGCTCCGCCCCCGACTCCGCCCCTTCGTGTGACGTCATCTGTGCACTTGGACACACAGGGAGATAGGGGACGACATGGGCCTGGCAGGGCTATGGCTAACCTGTGATGGTTGATTTGCAGTTCCACCTTATTGCTTTCATATCAGTAGGCGGAACTATGGTCAAGCGTACCCATTTTCGGGAACGCATTTTCGTTCCCATGTTTGGGAACGATAAACCCAAATATGGGAACGCCATGTAGGCATTATTTAAAACAAGAAAAAGAACCGTTAAATGACGTCCAAAAAATATAAAACGATCGTGAACCGCCTGATATTTGTCTCAATATTGTTGGGAAAGAGTTTGATATTGTAAGGCCCATCGTAGTTTCTAATCGCTCCCCTATTTCTAAAGCAATCCATCATCCGGGCCGCGAGCCCAAATTTGGGAACGCTCTCGTACACTGGCGCTGCAAGCGTTCCTTATTATGGGAACGGCGTACCCAAAATTGGGAACGATTTCACCGACGCCTTTCAGGGGCTCTTTTCAGTAACAAGCATCACGTCCAACGCCGCAAATTATTGTTAACGCAACAATCATCAGATGACCTTTCCGGCAAGACCGTCGCATGTTTCGCCCGGTCTTCTGCGCTTTTATTCCCGTCGATCTCGCAGCGGGCACGCCCCCTCTGCAGGATTATACGTAATTCACAACGCTCAGCGATGTTCAACAAGGTCTTCCATACCTATATCCACCGTCCGCGCCGAGGGTGGAGACATGTCAAGCACCTGTCTGTTTATCACCGATAGTTGACAAGCACAAGGAAGTATCCAAAAATGGGAACGCTGAATATGTTACACCCTCAAAGCACATAGTCCCAATGAAAATCTAGTTTTTTCCTTTCTTAATGAGTGTAAGCGGCAAAAAGCCTGGTAGGATGGGCACGAGGAATGATCGAAATCAGCATAAAAATTATAAATAAGTCACACAGAGCGACCTATATAAGAGAACTTCCCCCAAACGATCATGCTTAGAAACACGGAAGACAAAAACCACGCTCATGACGCTCCTTATAAAACAACGCTAAACAGCTAGCATCCAAATAAAATATGTTTTCCGGGCTGATGAAATACAGCTGAATAATTTTCAACCACTGAAACTGAGTTTACAACAGTAGTTCGGTAAAATCACTGACGTTCCACGCGGTCGTGCGCCCCGACACCAAAAGTCAACAATATTACCTCGGGACTGTCCGCGTGTTCGCTTGCATATGTCAGCATCGGGTGTCGCTAGTATGAAACTTCGTAACCAGGCGAAAATTATTATACTTGACCTCAATATGTAAAAAACGCTTCATTTTCCTTAACATTGCATGTTAAATGTAGTATAACCCATGTTTTCACCATTCCGTCATTTCAAAAAATCGTTAAAAATATCATTCCACGGTCAATTTCCTTGTTCAACGGTCAGATTAAAGATAATTTTATAGAGACTTAGTAGATACTTAAATTAGCGTGCACTTTTTTGAGACGTGGTGCACTTTTGAGTTTTCGTGGACGAACGGCCGAAAAATTACCTTGCGTTCTCATAAATGGGAACGCCCGTTCCCATATTTGGGAACTCCGTACCCAAAAATGGGAACGTTCCTATATTTGGGTACTCATGACCATAGTTCCGCCTACTGATATTGGATTGGATTGCTCATTTATGATTATTTAGTGGTAACACACAATACACATGTGACATGGCTTGCAGTGTGGCTGAACCAATGTGTCTCCTCATATGGGTTTATTTGAATTGTGAGTTGTGTACATAGTTCACACAGTACCTACCTGATATAATGCAGGGCTTGGGAGTTGGGCATATTCCTGGAGATCACCCCTATGATAGCTTGGCCTTTGTTTGGCCTTATCACATGGAACTCATGTAGCCTCTAAGAAGAGGATGTCTGGATACACAGCTGCTGAACCCATAACACATTGTGATGATAGGCCCGGTGAACTGCTACGAAAGATAACTTTTCTTGATTTTCTTTCATTTTCTTTCAAGGCTATTTTAGTCGACCAATTAGCAAAGTCTTTATGGGCGCTTAATCTGTTTTTGCTGAAATACCAGCTATTGCATATTGGAATCGATTTTTCTGCAGGTTTTCAAATGTTGATTGCTAAGTTTCTGTTCCCAAGCACATGTGTTCATTTTTTTCTAAAGAAAAAATCAAATATTTCATTATTCACATTATTAATAGGTGCCTTTCAAAGCAACCTTATGATTACCCTGTTAGGGTAGACCGGGGCAAGTCGCCCCGCCGAGGTAAAACGCCTCACCGATGTTTCTCGGAACTGGCAAGGTTCTGGGGAAACATCCTCTCTTCTATAAAACGTGCACTATACGATCATTATATGAGCAGACTGGAAAGAAGTTGTGATGACTCTTTAGAGAGATATAGCCAAAAATGTGTTTTTGGAGTGATTTTTATGTTTTGTTGTCAGATTATGCATCATGGCGTTCCTTTATCGTCCACATCAGGTTAACGACTTTTATGTATTTTGAACAACTATTGTCTAACGCTTATAATGCCGGGTTGGTTCGTGTTAAATTATGTCTTCCTTGAGTGCAAGGCGTTGTTCTCTGACCGAACTACGTGATGGGGTAAAACGCCCCAGTAGGTCGCGGGGCAAAAAGCCCCATGGGGCGTTTTACCTCATGTGTTGTTCGGACTACAAACTTCCTAATGTTCGGTAGCTGGGGAAACGGTATGTTTCTATGCATTTATATGTACTTTTCTCAGCAACTGGATGGCAAAGGAAGTATTTTGTTAACATTTGCATTGCAATAATTTATTATTTGGCCTTATGAGGCAGGTGAAAAACCTGCTCATACAATAGTGTCGTAGCTGAACACCTGATAGGATGGAAGGTGCTAACTTCAGTGCCGTGCCTCCCAAGGTCTAACGGACCTCTCATATAAGATTTAGTCAACTAGCATGTTTAATCTTTAATCTAGAGTATGGGGCTTCTTGCCCCAGGCCGTGGGGCGTTTTGCCCTGGGGTTGGGGCAAAACGCCCTATTTGCAGTTGCTTCACAAACCACTTCCCAGCTGGGAGTCCGATCATAAGCGAATGAATTTGAGGGGTGGAATTTAAAGTAAAATGTCCAAAGAACGCATTGAGCACAAATTTGGCCTTCCAGGTGATGTGGGACAAAAGTTATGTAGCAAAATAAATTATCTGGGGCGTCTTGCCCCAGGCTACCCTACAATATATGGTCACTTTGATGTGAGTCTTATTCTGCTATTGTTCAAATACAAATCAGTACTATGCTGTGACTTATGAACAAAGTGGAGCTAAGCTGTGGGTTGTGAACTCTTGACTGGTTATCTTTCATCCATTAATTAACTTTTTTTAGAGAAATATCTTCTTCAGACTGGAAGGACATAGTGGAAGCTGCACCCTGCAGGCATGGACATTGGACATTAGACAATAGACATGTCAGTTACTCTTGGCTCTGATCTGCAGTGATATAAAGGTCCAGTATTGCAGTGTCCCAAAATTTGTAGATGTGGGTGGGAAACGACATCGAAATGCAAATCATTTTCCACTCTCACCTCCAGTTTTCAAGCCCAATTTTCCACTCCCAATCCCACCGAGAAGGTGCAATTGCGGGAATGGTTGTTTTACATCTGTCACAATTGTAGATATGTTAATGTTTTTGATCATTTTCCCACTCTTTTTGGGCCTTACCTGACCGACAATTTTCACTCCCATCCTTTTTTTTGGTCAGCAATTTTCCCCTCTGACACCCAAGCAAAAATATGATTTTGGTACACTGCAGTATTGTGCTCTATGTCTCATGTCTCTCTGTCTGAAACCCAGGAACTGTACCTAGACATGCATTGTGTTGAACCTTATATATGTCATAAGGTGAGATAAGAGATTACTCTACGTCATGATTCATTGGTCCATAGACATCTCTATGCTTCTATATATCTCTGTAGACGTTGGTATGTATTTAGAGGTCTGTGATAGGTCATACGATGCTTCCAGGTGTTATAACACTGAAATCTCAGATCATTTCATATCATGTCTTCATAATCATTTGTTAACTTTATTATTTCCCACAGCTGTATCACCATGTCTTCACAAACCCTCCGCGTCACCTCCGAGTACATCTCAGTGGGTTGCAGCAGCACTCCTCACTCGCTCGACTGGGGCGACGGGGAACGGCTGTGTTTTGGTGCGTGCCACGCACTGGCCGTGGCCGTGCCCCTACCCGGCTCTGACGCTGGGTTCCGTACGGAACACACACTGCACCACCACTCTGGTGAAGTGGTGAGCGTCCGGTGGGCGCGCGACGTCACCACTGGTGCCGCCGTGCCCGCGGTGGTGACCGGGTCCCGCGACCACACCGCAGCGGTGTGGGATCTGGCGGCCGACCCGCCGGCTGTGGCCGCCCGACTGACCGGCCACGCCGGACCGGTGACTCTGGTGGACGCCGTGCGCTGGTCGGGTTCAGACGGCGGCGACAGACTGCTGGTGGCCACAACGTCCACGGACTGCTCCATTCGTCTGTGGGAGGGCCAGAAACCCGCCGACGTGGCGCTACTACAGAACATACCTCTCGGCCGAGGCCTGGCGCTGGCGCTGAGGCTGGCGCAACCACCCTCCGCCGCCGCACCCTGGCTTTTTGTCGGCACAGACGAGGCTACAGTCGTCATCTACGCACCCGAGGACTCTTCAACGGAGAAGGAGAACGTCTCCCCGACTGGAGGCGGGGACACCCCAGCGGAGGGGGCCTCTAGGAGCGCGGAATACACCCCTCTACTGCGGCTGGCCGGTCATGAGGACTGGGTGCGCTGTCTGGACACAGTCGTACTCGGAGACACTCTACTACTGGCTTCCGCCGGCCAGGACGCCATCATTCGTGTCTGGTCCGTGTGTCCAGTCTCATCCTCCGGAGGCGACTCTGCAGAGGATCCTTCACAGCTAAAGGTGCGGAGTCAGACCCTGTCGGTAGCCGTTAGTGGTGGTGCGAGGATACACTATAGCGTCACTCTCGACTCAGTACTGGCTGGACATGAAGGCTGGGTGTACGGACTCCGCTGGCGTCCCTCACCGAACACCGACCCGTCGTCCACCGCGGCTCCGCAGCTAGCCTCCGCCTCTATGGATCGAGCCGTGCTGATCTGGAAGCATGACGCGTCAGCCGGTGTGTGGGTAGAAGAGGCGCGGCTCGGCGCTATGGGCGGTAACGTCCTGGGTCTGTACGGCTGCGCCTGGAGCCCAGACGGCTCCCGCCTGGCGGCGCACTCTCACCGCGGCGCGATGCACGTCTGGGCTGAGGACGCCACGTCGCCGGGTGTCTGGAGGGGCCAGGTACCGCCCGGAGGCCACACCGGCCCGGTGGCTGACCTGGCCTGGGCGCCCGGCGGCGGGTACCTGCTGACCACCAGTCGTGACCAGACCACCCGGCTGCATGGCTCCTGGACACCGGCCGGCTCCTGGCACGAAATGGGACGGCCCCAGGTGAGAGCACGTGTTTGATTGTATCATCCCCAATAGCTGTCAGAAGCGCAGCGAGTAGGTATGGTGACATTGTTTTAATGCTTTTAATTTATGTTAAGTGCCTGTGCCTTGCTCATACATTTGAATATGCTCGCAATTGATGTTTTTCGTGTATTTTATTTTTAGCTTTTACTGTTAATTTGTATTCATTTAAAGCCATTGTAACGTTATATTTTAACACCACCATTTTAACACCATGTATCTGATCAAACAGTATCATGTCAAATACGGTCGACCTGGCTCGTGGTGCATGTTTTTGACCTCATTGCCACCCTGCCGCTATGAATAAGATCATTTCACAAGTATCTGCTGTTTTCACGTAGTTAACAGTTGATTCGGTTTCCATGAACTCTTCGCCTGTCCGCTCGATGGCTCAATGTAGTGTCCAGTGAGGTTGCAGTCTTTGAATACTACCTTTTCATCTGTTGTTATGTTACGAGCACTTGAGGTCCGTGTCTTCCAGACACCTTTGACCCCTAACTCACCGCCACAATCTCTGTCTCCAGGTGCACGGTCACGACATGGCCTGTCTGACCGCCGTCACAGACACATCGTTCGCATCAGGCGCTGAGGAGAAGGTCGCCCGCGCGTTCGCCATGCCCGGCGCCGTGCGAGACACCCTGGTCACCCTCTGTGGCGCCGCCGCCGCGCCCTCCGCCGGCGACTCTGCCCTGCCAGAGGGCGCGGCCGTGCCCTCACTGGGACTCACCAATAAACCGGTGTTTGCCGGGGAGGAGCGACGGGAGATGATCACCCGTGCCGAGGAGGGTGCCGAGAGCTACTTCCTGCGCCAGCAGCTGACGGCACCTCCCGCCGAGGAGACGCTCCTGCAGAACACCCTGTGGCCGGAGCTGATGAAACTCTACGGGCACGGGTTCGAACTGGTGACCATGGCAGCGAGTCATGACGGAAAACTTCTGGCCACCGCGTGTCGAGCCGCCAAGCCGGAACATGCCTCGGTACTGCTGTGGGACACTGCCACCTGGCGGCAGGTGGGAGAACTAGCCGGCGCGCATCAGCTGACTGTGGTACAGCTGGCGTTTTCGCCCGACGACGTGCATCTCCTAGCGGTGTCGCGGGACAGGACGTGGTCGCTGTGGGCGCGTGTGACGGCCGACGAAGCTCAGAGCGCGCCCTATCAACTGTGTGCGCGAGGCGCCAAGGCGCACGCGCGTATCATCTGGTGTTGCGCGTGGGTGGACTGTGTTACATTCGTAACAGGGTCACGTGACGGTCAGCTGTCGCGCTGGCGGCGAGCGGAGGACGGTTCCTGGATCAAACACGGTGACCCTTATAAGCCCGGTGCGCCTGTGACTGCGGTGGCGGCCACAGAGCACAGTGAGCTTGTCGCTGTCGGGCTGGAGACTGGCGAAATCCGTCTGCTTACCTGGCGCGGAGACGCGTGGGCCGAAGCGGCCGGACTCGACACTAGCGCCGCGCACCACGGCGCCGTGAAAAGGCTGCAGTTCCGGCCGCGGCCGCCAGGCGGCGCTGCTGAGCTGTTGGCGTCGTGTGGGGCTGATCACGCAGTGAAGCTGCATAAAGTGAGGTAGGACGGGGATGGAGTGAACTGAGTGATTTTCGTGACGACTTATCGATCAGATGTGTTCGGGATGAGGTATGGTCGAAATCGCTGTCTTGTTCGGCTGATTTTATGGATTCTAGGCACCTTGTTGCTCGATTGTTGTGGAATATAACATGTCAATGAACAATTTGATATCACGATAAAGACAGAGGGCTATGCAATTATGCATCGCTGTCCGTTGTACTTGCACAGGCATGTGTAATATGACACTGCTTTAATCGGTATCCCGAGACCCGAACACGATTTGGCTAGAGAGTCGCTGGCACATATGCGACATCTATCCATATTGCGAGCACCGGTGTGTCGTTTGGGCTGATGGTTTGATCGCTGGATCACGAGCTTGTTGGCGGATGCGGTGCGCAGTGTTTTCGGAAACTTAACTTGTCCTCATTCTCTCAAGTAGTTTGGGTAGGAAGCGCCGGAATACAGGGAGTGGGGGGGGGGGGGGTTGGAGAGGGAAGGATCTGGTAGCCTCAACTTCAAGCGAAACTCGACGGTTATGAACACTGAATGCAGAGTGCCGTATGCGATCTTTGCTGCCCTATGGCCTCAGTGGACTGGCGTGTGGAGCCGGGAGGGAAGGATGGAATGCATAGGGCGGGTCACTCCCGTTGGGAAGACGTTAGCCGTTAGTTGGAGTAGTAAAGTAATCTTGGACGTTAGCGGGTGGTTAACGCCCAGTAAAAGCTGAACTTCTCGGCAAAACCTCGCATCAACATAAGCTCATGCTTTTTTCAACATGCAACTTGAAAATTGAAATTAGCATAGCACTCATTCACGTTTTGACGCGATATTGCGCTTAGGTGACTGGCACTTTGGAGGGGCTCTTGGGAACTGCCGGTTCGTAGGATCCCCCTCAAGGTAAGTCAGCTGACTGTTGCCGGTCGACCTTGAACCCGTCGCGTATTTACAAATTGCAACCGAGCTCCGCCGTGGGGTAAGGTGGGCAGGGGTTTTCGCACTACGGCTACGGTTGAACTACCGTCTGTGGTAGAAACTTCAGGGCGATGGCGCGTTTCATACGAAATGTGGCGCAATGTTTGTTTGCTTCTGAACTTGTACTGTTGTTGCTGTGAATTCTTGAAGTGGGAGTGTTTCAATAACAATTTGTGGATTATTTGAGTTTCTTTATATAAACATAGAATAGTATTATGAAACATTGTGTGGAAACTGCAAATGCTGATATGATCAATTACTTGGTTTGGGAATTGATACACATTTTGTAAAGATTTGTCTGACAAATGGTGTAACAAACCTCAAGCATATCATGATCTGAAGCTGTTGCAACAAATCAAAATTGCTTTGTTGGAAAGACTGGAGCATGGTTCAAGATGATGTGTAAAAATTCAAGATTTGTGGGAAAGCTTGTGACTGTAGAACGGAAACAGTTCTATATGATGGCTCAATCAAACATGGAAATGGACGACAAAAGTAGAGTTTCAACATTCAGCATGTGAGAATAATTTCAGAAATTCATAATTCTTGTAGTATTGCATTCTTCTTATGTACAGTTATAGGTTTTGTTAGGGTATTTGAAATTCATTGTGTCAGTTGAGATATAGATGGATTGCGGACAAATTTTAGAATCATTGCATGGAAGCTAGGTATAAGGGACTTGTTCGGTAGAAAGGTATTGATGAATGCCATGAGGAGGTTTTTTTATGATTTAATATATGTTCGTTGTTGTGCCTACAAAAATGCAAGCTTACTAGCAACTAGTTTCTGAATCAAATCAAAAGTATTTGCCATGAATGTAAATAATATGTACCTGCAAAGTATGTCAATAAATTTGTGTGATGTTGACCAGAGAGCTTTATCATCTGGGCATTTATGTCGCTTCTTGCATTAGGTGTTAAGCATAGTAATTACGGATGAACTTTGTGCCAATATCTTCAATGCACAATGTATGTAGCATGTCTACAACCCTCACTGATCCTAGCTATAGGCATTTGGCACCAGCAAGACCAAGGGCATGAACTTCACAGTTGCTCAACCTTTTGTCATGCACACTCGGGGACAGATTGATGTTCCACCTCTCCCTACACATCGGGCTCCCATGGCTCAGCACTGGCTGCTGCCAGTGTTGCCTGCCCTCAGCACTGCTCAGCACTGTCTGCCATTGCCAGTGCTGCCAGTGCTGCCACTGGCAGCAGCCAGTGCTGAGCCATGGGAGCCCGATGTGTAGGGAGTGGTGGAACATCAATCTGTCCCCGAGTGTACCAACTACCACCAGTCACTTTTTTACTTAGGTGCACATAGCAGTGCACACAACAATGTGCAGAGGGCCTACACAAAAACAACATGATTAGTGTGCACTATGCACAGGATTGTACCCTGATTATTTGAATATTTTGATAACTTAACAGTCAACAGTCAGGAGTAATTATTCAATATCACATTTATTATACATCAGTTGTCATTTCAAACAAGAGCATGATGACACACATTTTGACAAGCAATCATGGTAGTATTTCAATAAGTTGGACATTCATCTCCCTGGGCGTCATTTTTCCAGGAAGGTACCTCTGCACTCTGCAGGTGTTGTGGTAGGCTAGGTTGAACTGGGTCAAGTTAGGCGAAGTAAGGTGGTTAGGACCCGGTCGGACCGTAAGGCCTGGTCAGGTTGATTTTAATCTTTCATTCTAATTTGACATAACCTATTACCTATGTTTTTGCTCCAGCCTGAATTTCATTAGGTAATGTTTTTGTCCCTTATATTTTGCCCCATAGGCAAGGGTGGAGCTTTTCCAGGGAAGGTGGTGGAGCATGATTGGAGGCGCTCAACCAGACGGCATAGGAGGGCACGGTTTCTGAACGCGCACTGATGCCTGATTCAAGCCACGCTGTCTTGATGCGTGGCGGCGCGCTACTTAAAAGTCCCTAAAAGAACGGGAAGTGATGCCGATAGAACCTTCAATCATTCTGGGCTAACGCTTATGACTTGGAAAAAGTCGCGATCCCAATTCAATCGAAAACCTGTGGGCTCTTGTTCAGCAGGAGGTGTATGAAGAGCCACCCGCCATAAGCACTGCTCAACCGCAGGCACAGGTTTAGACGGCGTTGGTCCGCATCAAAGCCAGTGTGCTGGAGAATCCATTGGCTGAAATGCTCCAGAACATTCGCCACTTGTGGGTTCCTCATTTCCTCTCTGACTGTCCTTTGAAACCACTCCAAAGATATGCAGAAACCAACGAGGTGAGTAAACTGTGTTTTTATGAAAGGTGGCTACAACTTACAAGCTCAGTTAAAAGAAAAAGTACCAGATTGTTTTGCTTTTACAGCGGGAAGAAAGGTGTCTGGATAATTTCGTTACACCCGCTGTGATGTTCAAATGGTTGCTAAATTCGAAATCAGCTCCAAAAACTAGCCTAGAAACATGTAAAACTCGAAAAAGTGAACCGAGGTCATCAAAGGTCATTGAGCTGACCTGACCTTCAGGTGACCTTGACACCCACCCTAATGTATGGGACCAGCATCATATCACATGTTTCAACGCTTGAAACCACGTGAAAACTGCAACCGCGCGGCTAATGCGAGCCGACATACGCCGAATCGCGATTCGGGCCAAACATGGTCTCGAGAAATAGGTCACAGGTCAAAGGTCATTTGGGTCAGGGTCATGAAATTTTCAGGGTAGGTGTAAAGTTGATAAAATCGGGGGTATTGAAAGTTTCGTCGCGATCGGACGCTTTTTACGCGAGTTACACACGAAAAACCGATAAAGCGCACCCAAAAAGGCAGAAATATGCACATGCGATATCCTATACTGCGAAAAAAGGTGCATCATTTTTGAACGTCGCCGACAAATTGTAATTACCCTAAGCTCAGGCAGATGTATGGTAGAAAATCCCCCAAGTGAAATACACTACGGCGCAAATAAAATACCCTACGGCGGAGCTCGGTTGCAATTTGTAAATACGCGTTCTTCAGGCATTGGAAGTGACGTCATGAGCCGGCCCGCGCGCCGCTAATTGCCGCGGTGTGGTGAGTGCGGAAAATATTCGCAGTAAATTCGAAATAATCAATATTCGCAGTATTTCATGCAGGGAGGAGGCCAGAGAGGTAACAGTAAATTTGACGATTCTTTTAGGCGAATGGTAGAGCAATGAGTTTACAAAGCCAATAAAGTCGGGGTGGCGGTGTACCTTTGATCTCGTGTTGGCATCGTGCCAAAAATCTCTGTGTCGTTTTGTGATGTTATGATATCAAATATGATAATGCATGTGATTCCCAATTTTCACCCGCTTTTGTACAGTGCTTTAGAAGGTGTCAGGCTCATTGTTCAAAATTATTACCATCCAAACCCCTTGCCCTAAAGAATACATTCAAATTCAAATTCCTGATAGCATTGGTTTTCATTGCTTTGTTACAGTTATAGGGCTGCAGTTTTTGATATATTTCCTCTCTAATCAACTTGACATTGTGAGGTACCCGTCCAGATCACCTCGGTCACCAACATCCCTGACGTAGAAGAATGCACGATTATTGGGGCATGCTTTGTTCTGGTCAATAACAATGCCTCTGGCGCATCCAAATTCATGAAATTGTAAGTAGGATGCTCAGGAATGCTTTTCACCCTAGTACTGGTTTTCTATCTTGAGCTTGCTAGAAATTTTTAGTGCTATTGCTTATTGCATGAGAACAGCAAGGAGTAAGGTTTCTACCAAGATACCTATAAGAAACAGGTAGGTCGGATGTTTTGAGCACGTTTTGAGTAAAGCCCTGGTGACGTCACTGACATTTCTTATATGGAGAATTTCGCCCATAAGGAAAATATTTTACATACGAAAATTTGTATTTCATTAGGAAAAAATACATTCTTTCAATTTCATCATGAAACTTATATAATTTAATTAAAAAACTTGAAATCCTTTGAGTGCTTGTCCCAACCCCTGCTATACCTTTGGTCACGTGACTGCCATGATAAACTTTGCGTTTTGCAATGTTATGACTTAAACAGAAGCAATTAATGTTACAAGCGTATTATTTATGATGTTTTAGGCAGCAATCGTGTAATAACATCCTTGAATTATATACATTCTGCTTAAAAAAGGTCACGTGATGTTACCAGATTGTGCTCGGACAGCATCTTCTTGAACTTCGATTTTGAGTACTTTTTACCTTCAT